AAAAAAAAAAAAAAAAAATTATATACATATGTAGATCATAAATATGCATGCATGTATTTAGATCATATATATATGCAGATAGAATTATTTCATAATGATAATGTAAAATCTGCAGGATCAGAGCCAGTGTTTACAACATACCTTAATGTCTTTCCTATAGTAATAAAATGCAACTTAAATATTTGTAAATTGAATTGTTTCAGTCAGTTTGCATAGGAAGAGTTCTAAATATTTTTTATTTTTGCATAAGAAGAATTCTAAAGATTTTGTAGCTTAAAATAAAGGCTGTGTTAAAATGTTGTAATTTGTGAGCTTTCTGTTAACGTTTAATGATCCTGTCAGGATGATCTGATTGGTGCAATTTAGTTGTCTTGCCCATGTGTGGTATAATTGATAAAGACTGAAAGTAAAGTCCTAATTTAGAACATATGAATCTCTCTTGTCCTGTTGTATTCAGGAATGAAATTAAGCAATTCATAAATCTGTCTGTTTTTAGTTAAAATATAGAGTGAGCACATCGATACGGCTAAGGATTTATACTCCACATTTCATATTTGAAATACTTTTTATAATGTAGGGTTAAAATAAAATATCAAAGCAATTTTAAAGGGAATCTTAAACTGTTCTTAGAGAGAGAGAATTTACTTTTTAATACTTTATGGAAAAAACTGATGCCCAGTTTCAAAAGTGTTGTTCCATTGAATTTTTTTAAAAATAGACTTCTATATTCCAAGCTAAATAAGTATTAATAATCTTTTTTTTAAATAGTTTTTTCCCCCTGATTAACGTTTTGCATGTTACAGTTCTGTTTTATGGGGTTTCCTATTCCTGTTTTTTCAAAAATGTGTTTTGCCAAATATACTGTTGACTACTATATGGTACCTAAAAATAGTTTGTCCTCTTGCTCTTCTAGCTCATTGATTAGTCATGGGAACTTTGGATTTGTTACCTATTGGTCTAGACAGTCATGTGACTTCCAGTACACTTGGTACCTCTGCTTTATCAGAGGTGTTTCAACTAACATTTATATGATTACTTATTCTCCTACTGCTTTTAAAATTCACAGCCACCCTGGAGGGAAAAAATTTATGAAAAACATGAAAGTAGGATTGTGTGAAAGTAATGCTAATATAATGAGACTTAGCACTTCCGTCTGTCTGTCCGTAATGCTCTGGGCCAACTGTGCATGTGCAGCCTGGAGCCTTAGGACAGACAGACAGATGGGGGCGGGGCCAGGGCCAGGCTGTGCTCCCTGCTGTCAGATGCAGGGACCGGCTGTATGGGGGGTGTAAATTGTGACTGTCGGGGGGCATGTGTGGCGCACAGCCATACGGGGGAGGAGGCCGTGGCACACCACTGCAGGGGAGTGGCAGGGGGCACAGGCAGTGCCGGTTGGCTGCAGCACATGGCTGCGGGGCAGGGCGCATACCCCTGCCTGCTCCCTGTGGCACCCTGCAACCACGCATCCTGACCCCATGCCAGGAGCACCAAAACACAGGAGGGGCATGGCCTCAGGGGCTGCCCCCCCCCCCCCACTCCATGCCCCCTCCACTGCTCATAGCTGGTGGGTGCTCCCCACGCAGGGGGAGGGGCATGGCCACTGGGTGATACACAGGAAGCTGCCACAGGGGGGCATGCCGCATGGCCACAGGGTGCCACAAGGGCAGTGGGCAGAGGAGTGTGGGCAGCGCCTGCCAGATGCAGCATGTGGCCATGGGGCAGGGCATGTCCCCCATGCACACTCCCCATGCAGCACCCTGCAGCCATGCGCCACTCCCCTCCCATGCTGGGAGCACCTGGGGGGTGCATGTGTGCAGCATGTGGGTGGGTGTGGCCCATGGATGGGTGTGTTTGGCTGTGTGTGTGGCATGTGACTGCTTGGGGGGGGGTGAGGCACGTAGCTGGGTGAGTCTGTGTGTGACATATGGGTTTGTGTGGCGTGTGGGAGGGTGGGTGCAGTTGAGTGGGAGGGTAGGTGTGGCTGGGGGTGTGGCGTGTGGCTGGGTGGGTGGCTGTATGTATGGTGTCTGTTCTTGGTGTGTATGTGGCATGGGGCTGCGTGTGTGTAGTGTGTGGGTGGGTATGTCTGAGGTGTGGGGGGTGCATGGGGCTGGACCCAGTGATGGGGGGTTGCACGCAGCCAGATGTGGAGGAGCAGCAGCGCGAGGCGGTGGGTGGTGGTGCTCTGTCCCTGCCGCCCACCCGTCGTTCTTGATGGGCACTTTGCTAGTCCTAATTATATTGGTGCACACTTTCACAACATGTTCTAGTGAAGTAATGAGTAAATTCAGCATTTTTGAAGTGAATGGAGAGAGATTTGTTTTTCTATTTCTTTAAAAAGAGAGCGGTAAATGCCCTTTTCTTTACCCCAGGTGGCTGCTGGAGCTCTGCTGCCAGCACGGAGGAGTAGCATGACAGCTGCAACTCACTGCTGAGATTAGCAGCTTCTCATTAGAAAGTAATTGAGGTTGTCGTACTTCACATCTAGGCCAAGAGGACATTTTTGAAGTGTAACATACTGTGTCCAGAAAAGTTTTTAACATAAGGGGAAATTGTTATGTGTATTGAAAAGAAAACCTCCAGTTGGCAATAATGCCCTTGGCGTCATGATTCGGGGCTCTTTTTCACACCATTTATTACTTTTTTAAACAAAACAGACAGGTAATTGTCCACACTAAGAGATGGTCTGGTTTTTTATGGTGATTTTTCCTGTCTCACAGGTGATACTCTGCTTTTCTTAAGATAACATGAGGGCGCTGCCTGTTTATGAGGTGCTAACCATATCCTGGACTAAATAAACTCTTAAGGCCAAAGGCCAAGGTGTTTATAGGTGATAAACTGGGAGGTTGATATGCAAGATGTGTATCAGTCTAGGATGCAGTTACTACCAAGTGCAGGGGAGCACCCTCAAGATGCTGCTCTTTTTAATGTTCGTACCTCCATACTTCACGCTCTTTGGAGGATGGACTCTAGCTTCTGACTGCATTTTGCCTTCTGCAGAGCATTGCGTACCTGTGGCACAGGGCGTAGAAGTGATGGGGTGATGATAACAAAATGGATCTCTTATCTTTTCACCCCTTTCTCTCCTTTACCTTTCTTGTACATCTCCTTTTTAAGGAATAATTGAACGACTGAAAAATATGTTTTTTTTGTTTGTTTTTTTTTTAAATAAAAAAGATTATTTTAAAATCTCTTTCTGATTTTTTGCTTTTTTTTTTTTTTTTTCCCCTCATTCTCATGTTTTCCATCCAAAGTTATCGGAAAGCCAATTTGGGATATTTGTTTCTCCTGCTTTTTGCATCCATCCACACTGTTTTCAGTGTGGCAAAATGGAGGATTGGCTTGTTTTAAAAGTTGCAATGGGGTTTTAAAGGGCATAGCATACATTTTATGTAGCTCTATACTTCCCCGTTGGGCATTTCCACAGAGAAGATAATCCAAGGTCATGCACGAGTTATGAGGGATAGGTGCATGAAGCTAAAAGAGCCTTTTTTCTTCTGATTTGCCAGTCAAAGTACAACTGGCATACTGTTCGGATAGTGAAATATAATCGTGGTCTTGGGTATCTCTACCTTCTGATCAGCTAGCTAGCATAAGATAAGGATTTGAAAGCTTCCAGATCAGAAAATACCCATAGCAATCTAAATCAGGCCTCTTCAACTGGTCTGAATACCGGTATTTTCCCAACAAGATTGTAGACAATGTTGGTCAGTAAAAGCAGTGTTCTTGCACTCAATCAACTGAGAATTGGCAGTAATCAGATATAAATAAAAAGTCCAAATCCCTAAAAGTAACACGGTGATCAATTAGGATATGATACCAAACAATTTTGTTAGTCTCTTTCCTAAGTTTTGTCCAGGATTAGTGTTTAGTAACGACTAGGTATTTCTTTTATTGATCACTGTAAGTAATTTTGTTCCAATAGGTCTTGGTTTCTAAATGGCAGATTGCTGCTGCTGATTACTTCAGTCTGCATTGTCTTTCCTCTGGCACTTCTCCCCCAAATCGGTAAGTGATTTTAAGGAGGGAAAATAGTATTATTGTATTTTAATAGCAATTACAATTAAGGACTTTAAAACCTTAATGGCTTATTTATTTATTCTAGCTGGCAGGGGGTTGGTAATGGTGGGGGCTGCTTAAGCTATTGTCATAGGTTGTGCCTCCCGACCCTGCCTAGTTAACCTATTACTTGAGTTGCAGTTGTATTTTGTCTGCAATACTAAAATAAAATCTTTACAGCAGAACATTAAAGAGCTGCATTTACTTACAGCATGCCATTAGTGGTAAGCCAGTTCTAATTCTGCCCTGCAAAGCTGCATAAATGATCTGTGACAGGCAGCTGGAATGCTGTTATTCCGAGTCCTAAGCCCCAGATACCGAGAACTGTAATAGAAAACATGCCTAAAATGTAAAGCTTTAGCTGTACGTTAGGATCACTTTCCTTATAAATTGCCATTTATTTTTACTGTTATTTTACAGGCTTTCTTGGCTACACAAGTAGTTTATCATTTTTCTTTATGGTGTACTTTGCTCTCGTGGTAAGTTAAAAATCAGCGCACAGCTTATCTATCTAAATTTTTTTTCTTATTGTTTAAATGTTTTTATAAGTCTCTTTTGAAACGGACGGTCCCCTTTCCCCTCCCTTAAGCTCTCTGTAAAATCAAGAGTTTTCTTTATGTCCCTGCATACACATGTTTGGACAGGATAAGTTTGTTTTGCTGAAGAGGCATGAAAATGTGTGTGAACTTTTTCAAGCATGTGAAAAGGTTTAAAATGATTATATTTTTGGATTGGTAAGCATAGTTATATTTTTTTTGTTTTGCTGGCAGTGCAGTGAAAGAATTGGTATGTATACTTTTGTTTCCCTCCTTATGGAAAGGAATTCTGTTTTCTTAGCTCCTAATGATTACTTACTGTAACTAGTGCAGAAGAAAATTTAATAGAGTCCAAATAAATTAAATTTACATGTACATTGGAGTGAAACAGCTCAAAAAGAGACAAAGAAAACTAAAGTTCTCTAAGGCAATATACGGAATTCATTACTGCTTCAATGACCTTATTCTTCACTGGGCAGGAAAATGTTGTTTCTCTGAGCCTAATGGGGCATTTTGATTGTGATACTTTCATGCTGTAAGCTGTGTGAATAAGATGGATCAAAATATTGGAGGTAAGATATGCTCTGCAGATCCAAAAGGAAAATTGCGTCTTAGGATTGCATTGGTTTTCTCTTAGGAGAAGGTAGGCTGTTGCTAATGTACAAATATAATATGTAGAGGGACTGGGTGGTTTGAATTTTGTCAAGAAGATATGTAAACAAGAGTCTTAGTTAAGAGCATGGCAAGAAGTTTCCCCGTAACCCTTCTTCCTGGGGCTTGCTTTGACTTGCATGTAGGACTTTTCTTTACAATGGAAAGCAAGTCCAGCAAACGTGTTATCCAGAAGAGCAAGACAGTCCATTAGGAGCTGAACTGTGTGATAAAACCAAACTTCAAAGCTGTCAAAACAGCTCCCTAGGGTATTCGTCAAGAGGTGAAATGTTCTCATGGGGTCTTCTAGAGCTTAGTATTATGGAGTAGAAACAGTACCCCCAGAGTTAATGGGAAGTTGCTTAAAATGTTGTTGTTAGCCCAATTTTTGATCTTTCCTCTAAAACCTATTAAAGTCATCTGCCTCAACAGTGACAGTGTAGGTCAGGAGCAGAGGTGGGTTGCAGAAACTTGTAAAATACACTCATTAGTTCTTTTAAATGTCAAGGGATCTTACAGATCTTACAAAAGTTGTACAGATCTTACAAAAAAAAAAAAAGGGTGAAAACACCAGAACATTTAAAAATAAATGGCTTTAAGGAAGAAATATATGCATAGAACCATCACAGCTAGATCTGCAAACCTAGAAGATACTTGGATCTGGGATCTTGATTCTGATCCCAGATCTTGTGTGTGCAGATGCATAAGAAATGTTACCGAATTCTGGAAGTCATGGGGTACTGCATTCCTAAGGAAGCTTTTTTAAAAAATGGATGTTTCTTCCTCGTGGTTTGTATGTGACAAATGAGACATTACTAAGAATATAAGTGGGACCAAAGTATTGATATGCCAATGTGTATATTTAAAGAAAAATACTGTTACTTAAAAATTTAGCCTGATCTGTGTCACTGAGACTGGAAGCTGTATTAAATACAGTTTGCTATGAGGCAGGTGATACGTACTGCTGAAATGGATGTTATAGTTTGTACAATATTAAATTGCGCAGTGGCAGATACATTTTAATGTGTTCCAGAAGAAATTGGCATCAGTCATATGGAAGTAATACCCTTATTTTACATATGCAATAATTCTGTACAATTGGTTTCAAGTACATACCATCTGTTTGCTTGTAAAAGCACAATTTTTATATATGGCATGCAAATAGGACGTGTGTGATCTGTTGAGCCCAAGCAGCATGGTCTAATGGATAGGCCAGAATATGAACAGTCCAAGGACTGTATTCCTAGCTCCATCTGCTTGACCTCATCCAAGTCGTACTTTCTCTCTGTACCTCAGTGTCCTCATCTGTAAAATGGAGGTAAGTCTTCCTTTGTAAAGGACTTTGAGACCAGCATGTTAACAGCTTAAATATGTTTATTTTAGAACCTGATTCTGTCGGGTCCTGAGCACCATCAGGTTTTTTGTTGGTTGGTTTAGTTTTTCTTTTGGCTTTTCCTTGCTCAGCTTCTCAATTTGGGTCCTAACGGAAGAGGAATTTGATCTGTTCACTTTTTAGGTGCAAAGTTAAAATTCAAGGTTGCTGAGAAGACTGTCACTACATTTTTCAGTCCAACATAGCTGACCCCAGCCAGTATTTAATTTTATTTTTTCTAAATCTGTGCTTCCGGAGCAAAAGGTAGTTATCGAGCAGCTCAAACGCTGCATGGTGCCTGTGGCATCGCTAAGCCCGAGTCCCACCTGAGCCCTGTAGGCACGACTAGAATACAGATGGAACCAGTTTTCCTGCTGCAGGATGAATAACGTCAGTGGGGAAACTTGGGACCTTAGAATTTGTTTTTTGGAAATGTTTTAATGTGGGTTTGAAATACATGGCAGGGTGTAATTTAAAGCAAACTTTCTAATACCTCAGAGACAACATTTTAATGTAAAATGGGCTTAAAACTGGAGCTGGTGATTTGCTGCCATGGTTGCGTGACAGGTCGGGTGATTGGTACTGCTGCAGACTTCAAACATCCCCCTGTGTTGGTAACTGCTGGTGACCTCGTTTCAAACCCAGGCCAGAGTAGTAAGCAATAAGCCAAGCCAATTTGAAGAATTTGGCAGCTGGGAATACATAATTAGGGATTCTGAACACTTACAATTTTTCATTTGTCTTTTTTCTTTTTCCTTCTGTTCGGTTCTTCACATCACTGGTTAGAGCAGGGGTGGGCAAAATTCAGCCTGGCCACATCTGGCCCACCAAGATATTTTGTCTGGCCTACAGTGAGTCCCTTAGCCCTGCCTGACCCGAGCAGGGGGGCAGCCTGGGCTGTGGCATGTGCATCCAGTCCTGTTGCCCCTGGGTGCGCAGCAGAGCTGGGATGATGTGGTGGCTGGACTTGCTTCTCAGCAGCCCCAGTGCCAATGGCTCCTTCCAGTTGCCGCTGCCAGCAGACCCAGCCCTGTTGCCTGGGTGCCTAGCCCATCCACCCCACACCTGCCACTGAGGGCAGGACGTGTGCGGGCAGGTAGGCGGCCACGCGGATGTAATGGGGTCATGCGTTGGTGGGGATCACAGGACAGGATTGCAAGGTAGTGACAGCACAGAGCTGGTTCTGGGGCAAAGCCACCGTCTGTGCCCTGCATGCCCCTGCAACAGGCACCGGTCCATGGGCTGGGACGTGCAGATCACAGCTCTTCCCCAAGCCCCAGCCCTGCCCCCAGATGCCACTCTGCCCCCGCCTGCAGCCCCATCCCATCCACCTGCCTAACACAGAGCAGAGCCACTTAAGGAGTTCAGCTGAGCTGTTGTGGTGTGGGGGAAGGGGGAGTTCTGACCCAGCCCACAACAGCTCACCAAATCTCCCTAAATGGCCCTTGGGGCCCAAATAATTGCCCACCCCTGAGGTAGATCATCATTGACCTGCCCCCCACCCTCTGGAAAATTGCATCTCTTTTTTCTGACCTGCCCCACCAGCCAAGCTACACCCATCTCCCTCCCGGGCACCATAGGATTCTTGCTTGCTTTCCTCCGGCCATTTGCTCAAGCATCTTACCTGTATGGATGAGCTCTCCATCCCCCTTCTACACTGCTTCCTCAGGCAAAGCACCAGCTCTTGGTAGTTTGATCAGCTATTGAATTTTACATGGGGGGAGTCCAACCAGTTAATGAGTAGGAAATGAAACAGAGGCCGCACCTCTGCTGGAGGATAGTAGAGGTGCACCGATACATTGGTCCAATATCAGATTGGCACCAATGTAAAGAAAATTGATCCTATCAGAAATCGGTCTGATGTGGCCAATAATCTGGCCGATAAAAGCCCATGCGTGCGCACAGCCGCAGCGCAGTACACAGGCAGCGAGGAGCACAGGCTGGCAGCTTGGAGAGGAACATAGCCAGGCAGCAAGAAGTACAGCCTGGCAGGGGCTGGGGCAAGCGCTGCCTGGGTGGCTGCAGGACAGAGCCACGGCTCATCTAGGGGGTACAGGGTGGGCTTCCACCACTGTGTGCCATTCATCCAGGAGCTGCTGGTCCGGTAGCTCATTTGGCGCTCGCTTGGAGGCTCCTGCCACTCATCTGGGAGGGAATGGGGGGGCGTGTGCCCCTGAATCTACATGGGGGGCAGGCTGGGGCCAGCGCTGTGTGGGGCTCTTCCCGCCCTGCCCTGCCCTGCCCTGCCCTGCGCAGATCGGGGGTCACATGCCCCCCCTCCCAATACCCTCCCGGATGAGTGGCAGGAGCAGTGGCAGGAGCCACTGGATGAGCTACCGGCTCCTGGACCAGTGGCTCCTGGACCAGTGGTGTGCAGCAGCAGAAGCTCCCAACCCACCTGGCCCCATCTGGACAGCTCTTGCCCCAGCCCCACTCCTCCCTCAACCACGGGGGCCTTGATCTGCCCCCTGTCCCCCTCCCTTCCACCCCACCAGACTTACCAACTGCACGCAGTTCTTCAACCTGCCTGGCTGGTATTGGAAATTGAATGGGTATCAGCCAATATGTCCCCTTAAAAATCGGCTATCGGTATTGGCCCCCAAAATCTCTATCGGTACACCCCTAGAAAATGGCACCAGACAGTTTCAGAAGCATGAGCTGTAGTGTCCCCTCTCCATTTTTCTTTGTAACAAACCACCATGTGTAGTAACACAATAGTTGCTATGGGATCATGCCACTTCTGTCCCTTTTGTAGCCAGTAATTACTCCTTCCCAGCTGCATAATTTAAGACATGTATTACCTCCGCGGCAGGACTGTTAGTGGCTATGTTGCCAGGCAGCGTGGATAGCATGCCATGTACCTGCTGTCTCTCTGGTCACACAGTTACTGGCCATAGGGCTCATTTGCTCCCCTCGACTGCACAGGAATTGAAATACTGACTCTGGAGCACGCCACCCGATTGTAGATAGGCAGAGGAAAGAAGCAGAGAGCTCTGAATCTGACCCCTTATTGCAAGTGTAAAGCCTCTATCAGATAATTACAAAGATGTTATGATCTCTAAAAATAAGCAGCTGCAATGAGAACTGTTGACATAACCATACGTTCAATGACTGGAGAAGCAAATCTATAATTAGAAGAGGATTCCTGAAAGGGAAGTGTCATATTTTGCCTTTTAATTTTCTCTTTTACTTCTCAACCTCACCACACAGCCTCATGGTTTAGGGAGTTCTATGGGGAAAATCCTCATGGCATTTTGGGAAATATTTCCTCATGTTCTGGTTGGCTTCCCCTCCCCTTTGCCTTCAAACATCAACCATGTGTTTTTGCTGTGCTGCATTGGCCAACCCCAGCTGTTATTTTCCTTAACGGCTTGTCCAAATGGAGGAAATAGCCCAGAATACCTGTCGCAGAATGGCCCTTCCACACTAACTCCCTGGGGGACACTTTTAGTTTGAGATACAAAGTGATTTTGCTCACGAAAACTTGTTCTTCACATACATCTTATTTAGTTAGTCTATAAGGTGCATATTTACCCTGACTTCAGACTGACATGGGTACCTACGTCTTCATGAGTGTCCACCCAGACAGTTAATGTGGAACAGCTACCACGCCATAAGTTCACATCATAACTCATTTCACAATAGCTTACCCATGCAGACAAGTGCCAAGTGTGCCCTTAATGTCTAATCATCTGTTTGTAGGGAATTGCTTTGGCAATACTTTCTATCAAACCCCATCACTCTTCCTAGCCCAACTCTCCAGTAGTCAGGCGGGTTGGTTCGACTTTGTTTCCCATTCTGCCATGCATGCCAGTAGTCTAGTGCTATAATTGCCCTCTCATCTTAAATATTCTCTCTTTACAGATTGTAATAAAAAAATGGTCTGTCCCTTGTCCGCTGCCACTGGCTAGCTCTATAGAGACCTTACAGGTAACGCTGGAAGCTTTTCTGTTTCTATTTTAGTAATACTTTCCCAATACCAAAACACTCAGGAATGTAATATTTCATAGTTTTTAAAAATAAGTATTTAGTGATGATCCTTATTTCCTGTTAATTTAGATCTTATTTCTCCTCTTTTTCAATGAGCATGATTTTATTAGCTAGAATCTAAAAAGAGTGATGTCTTTGACTTCTAGATAGTTATTCCTCATGTCATCTGCTATTTTCTGTGCGTGTCTTTATGCAGGTTGCAAATTCTACTGAGGACTGCAAAGCAAAGCTGTTTAATTTTACTAAAGAGGTAAAGTACTATATCTTATTAGCAGTTGGAGATTTGTCTTTTTTAATAATGGATATAAACTTTCCTTGCTTAGTGTGTACAGCAGTATTTTTTGGAAGGGCTAATTATAGCTTGAATGTGCCTCAGCTGTCACTGGAAAATAAATAACTATAAGATAGACTAGGTTGTGAACCTGAAGTCCACAGTAACTCGACATGTGCATTCTTTATCTCCCCCCCTGTAACTGCAAAGTGACTTACTCTCCTTCCCTTGAGGGGTAAGGCACCTCACTTTAGCACTGTAAGTGCATGCCCCTGGGCAGTTACCGTGGACTTCAAGTTCACAGCCTAGTTTATCTTCTAGTTATTTATTTTCCAGTGACAGCTGAGGCACAAGTTACAAGTCCACACCTTACCTTACCTCATTACAACTTGTTCATGGGCCTGTCCCGTAAGGTTCCAGTTGTTATGCTTGTGAAAACATTTCAAAAAGATGACCCAGGTGTAACCAATGTAGTGGTGTCCTGCTGAAAAAATAGTTGTAGGTGAGAACTATCACATTCAGTTCACTGCATGCCAGCTCAGGTGATAATGACTATTTAAATGTAAAAAAAAAAATAAAAATTGCTGCTCATCAAAAACATGTAAAGAAGGAAGTGTATTGTGTTTATAAAGATTGCTCCAGTCTAGTCTGTGATCATTCCTTATAAGTAGCCCTTTAAATGTGATGGGGGGCAGTGATGTGGTTGCACCCCTGTTTTGGACTGGTCTGAATTGCTGGAGTTTCTGGGGACTTTGGGGACTTTTTTAAAGTGGAGAATTCCTGCCCCAACCCTGTGCTCAGAGGCGTTGACCCTCCCCTTCCATCCCTCCGTTTTTCACATGCTCTGGCTGCTTTCCCCGCTGTCCCCAGGGGCCAGGAAATCTTCAGAGCTGTTGCTGCCCACTCCACCTGCAACAGCTATGGCAGCAACAGCAGCAGTGGCTTCCTGTGCCTGCTCCTGGGGGGGGCGCAGGCGGTGTGGGGAAACCCACCTCCTTACTGCTGCTGCTGTTCCCAGAAAAGCCCAGCGTCTACCCAGCTAGGCTGGAATAGGCAGGAGCAGCTCTGAAGCTTCCCTCACACCCAAGTTAGCAGGGAAAGCAGCAGCAACTGGAGGAGGAGGGGACAGAGGATGTGCATCTGAGCTTGGAGGGGCAGATGCTTACCTGCTTTGGTAAGCATGCTTTAAAAAGTCCCCAGAGACTCCTGCAGCCAGTTTTCCCCCACGTTGGGTTGTGGGGAGGAGGCTAGGAGGTTGTGAGGGTTGCAGCCACCCTTGCAGTATGCTCCTGCGTAGTACAGGGAAACTGCCCCCTGCCCAGTCAATCGGGGATGGGCAGCGATTGAGGGAGAAGGGGATGGGGCAGGAAGGCTGCAGAGGGCAAGGGGGCTGCCTGACTCCTTCAGCCCCCTGCCACCCAGCCACTGCTTTCCATACTGTAGCAATTGAGGGGTGGGGGATGAATTTAAACAACCTTCAAATAATTAGATTTTAAACCTGGAAAATTATTTTGAAACTCTAAATTTTCCATATATATATTATCTCATTATTGGAGGGGGAGTTGTTTTACATTCAAGGTCATCTTAGATTTGAGTAACACAGTAGCTTATGCCCGTTTGAGAACTGAAATAAACTACACTAAGTTGTAAATGGTCTTCACTAAGATTTTACTGAATAACTTTGATTTTTAAAATCATACTCCTAGCTAACATGATAATTGTAATGTCTTTAATTATAGAAATGCCCTCAGACTTCAGAGGCAAACTCATTATAAGGTCTGTCAGTCTGAGTGTTGTACCCATTTTTTTAAAATAGAAAACATTGAGATGAGTTAAAGGAGTTAATTTCAGCCAGTAATGCTATATGTTATAAATATCTATATTGTTTATAATTTATTTGGCTTTTGTCCCATATAAATGAACAATCATAGTATTTATTCTGACTGCATAGGCTAAATCCTGCTAACCTTACTTCTGGGTATATTGTCATGAACTATAGTGAAAGTTCTTGCATACATAAGGTGAGTAGAGGTTGGCACTGGACCCAATATAGCGAAAAAGAACCTAACAGTTGTTGACTCATGGGTACTGTGATCTCCACCAGTGGTGAAAGATTACCTTCAATATAACTGCTATCTAATACACGCAGTTTTTCGTTGACTGAAATAGTTGCATGGAAAGACTGAGAACCGCCATTCTGTACTATAAACACTTACCCAGAAAGATTCCTATTGATATCAGTGGCATTGGGTTCTGGCAAAATCTTGGATTCATCTTAATTAATTTGCGAACATTTATAATTAGAAGTGGTCTTAATGAGATTTTTCTTCTTTCTTCCTTTTTTTAGAGTGCCTATGCCATACCAACCATGGCCTTCTCCTTTCTCTGCCACACCTCAGTATTACCCATTTACTGTGAGCTCCGCAGGTAATGTATCAACACAGGTGATAATGAAATGGAACGATAAAGCGTTCAGACAAAGATTTCTGAAAAGCTGATGCATACTCTGCTTAACTCAGTTTAGACAATGCAAAGGACCCTTTTGAAATTCAGTATTGATCTGAATCAACAATGGCATTTTGCTTGTTAGATTATTTGTGGATAGGAGAAAAATGAGCAGCCATGTTTTCATTGCCATATATAGTCATTTTCTATGGGGTGAGGGCAGGGAACAAATCCTTTGCCCAACATTCAATCCTCCCCCCACCTCCTGCCATAACAGAGCCTGCATGTGGTTACTTATTATAAACATAGATGGGCAA